AACCGCTCAACAAAACACATAGGTACAAGTGAATGAATCTTCTGATATATATCTTTACCTGTACAATCTGAACATTCAAACGTGAGGTCAAGGTAGCTGCAAGGAAGACCGCGTTTGACTCAGTATAGTGCCAACGGCCATAGCTAACTGACACTGGGTATGTTGTTTTTTTTAATTTCAATTATTTTTTACGACAACTGTCAGTCAACCTTGCTTGTTTTTTTTTTTGGTCGGTGAATGACAACTGTTATTTTTTTGAAGTGATTGTTTATTTTCTGGTGGATTAATTTTGTTCAATAAGTTTTTTTATTTATGCTCTGTTTATTGTCTATTGTTTTGATTTTATTCGATTGATTGTGGTGTTCGATTTTCGAATTTATGGTTTGTTGTGTAATGTTTTTTTGTATGTGTTTAGATAAATTTAGTTATTTTTTAAATTGTTTTTTCTAGGTTTGTGTGTTAAAAGTTTACTATCATTACAAAAATGATTTAAATAATATATAATATATTTATCGTTTACGAATAAATAGTTTGTAGATTCAAATCATAAATAAGAGTAAATTCTTGTATCAGGAAGCTTTTCGTTTTTTTTTCTTAATTAACGCCAATAAGCTGGATTTTTTAAATATTCTGAATACATAGATGTTAGCATAACTGATAGATACCGTTTGTTTTCCATATGAAATTATGTCAAAACAAATGCAACCAAACATTATCTAAAATTACAAATAAAAATACGATTTTCCTTTTCCTGGTTCTCCATTTAGGGTAACTAGTTTGATTAGCAGTGTTGAAAAATTATATTAGGTATATTGTTTACAATTCAAAGATATGTGTGACGTTTTATAATATTGTATGACTGACCATCATATTTACTTTACTTAACCTGTTGTGTGTAACTTGTGTGTTAGTTTACCAGGGGCCCAATCTTTGTCCCATATAACCCTTTAGTTCAGCAAAGTCATTTTACGACAATTGGGTAGTTTCCTAGGTCAAAAATAAATTAATTCGACGTTTAATACAATAAAATATTGAAAAATAACTATACCTTTATTCCTCGATTTGTCGATACACTTAGTTTTAGATATTTAGCTAATTTTTAAGAAATAAGTTACCTATATGACGCAAAAATAATATGACGTCATACCTCAGTTTTTCATACAAATTTCATAGAAAAGTATCGTTTTTGATATTTGGATAAAAGTATTGAATTTGACTAGTTGAAAACTACCGTATTGTCGTAACGTAATGTGACCTTTTCTTGAGAGTCCATGTATTGTGTGGATGCCCATTGCTTACCATCAGGGGACCCGTCTGCTCGTTTGCCGCCTTATACCATACCTTATACCCAAAAAATACAACAAAATAAACTTTCCTATGTGCCTTAACTTTAAAATGATAATTTTTAGCCTCAGTAATAAGGGCAAGACTGCCATGACTCTGGAACAAAAGGGATGTTTACAAATTTAATTTTTCATGTCCGTATTTTGTGTGTGTGTAAATATTTGATACCGTGACATTATCCTTATTTCCAAACTCTATCAGATTATCCAAACTAACGTTATAAATGCGAAAGTAACTCTGTCTGTCTTTTCTTCACGTCTAAACTACTGAACCTATTTGTGTGAAAGGTGCAGACATAGTTTGGAACTCGAGAAAGGACATACGATAGTTTTTAACCAAAAATCTGCAGGAAGTCACTATTCCACTCGAATAAAGTCGCGGGTAAAAGCTATTTTTTTTAAATAAGTAACGAAAATTTGGTGTCTTATGACTCGTATGTATTTGTCTTGTGTCAAAATAGTGTTGTTACACAACGCACTCATAAGTTTTCCGTGATCGATATTATTAACAGTTTGCAATCAACACTAATGTAATTAGAAAATTATTGTTTTGCTAATTGATACCGAATTTAGCAAGTATTTGGATGGAAAATTCGATAAGTGTTACGTTACATTTGACGCATATAATATTTTTACTCTGAGGTGTATTTATTTTTTCGATATGTTGTTCAGTCCTAAAGAGCTAGTTCACTACAGATGAGGACCTACAGGGCTGAACTCCGTTCAGCTGGGGTTGCGGTTCTAGAACTAAAAGGTTGCCGAGGCCGAGACCGCGGTGGTCTCGGCCTAGAGCTGGTGCAGGAATAGTGGGGTTTAGTCAGTAAGAGTCTGAGACTCCCTCTAGCTCGCCTAACTCAGGGCGAGGGAAGACATTAGATGATTATCCCCTTACAAAAAAGGTTTGTTTGGTTCTTTAAATTGTGTCTTTCGCGTTGCTTAACTTGATCGTTTTCTATTATTTATTTCTTAAAACATCTGTTCCACTCTCGGAAATTTTATTGTGTAATGGATGCATTTATATAAGTATACAATTTTACATACACATCGCACCTAGACCCAGGACAACAAGTTTTGTGGTGACCCAATCTTTACGTAAACCGTGTTGACAAATATCAAAGACCAAGGTACCAAGAAGACCAAGGGTTCTGATAAATATATCCTGTACGTACCTACTACTCAGCTACCAAAACTAATTTCTAACATTCCAATGAAAATAGAAACCTAATAATATTTCACAAAGCAATCAATTAGAAATCAGAGCTAGATTTCAGTAACATTCCACTCCGAACACAAAGTGAACTTAATACAATTGAACATAAAGGTCAATTTCGTGCGTCCCAAAATGTCTTACTGGATAGTTCGTATATCAATTTAAAACCCAAAATATCAAGGCTATATCTTTGTGGAGAGAACGGAAACAATGCAGAGTGACGTAACAATTCGATATGTCCAATAAAAATGGTTTTATTAAGGCGGTATGACTAATTGGTTAATAGTTTTAAAATTTCTTCATAACTCTTTATAATAACATATTTTTATTTTGTTATGAAGAAAAAATTGGCAAATAGATTATGAAGTAACACTTTATCAACATTCTCTTCAATTCCCAGTGTCACATGAGGTGACACAATATACCTATTTTTAATCACGATTTTATACTATAGATTAAAATATTTTTTATTCTTTTTTCCAATATTTAGTAATGAAATTAAATACTACTTTTATTTTATGTTCATTATTCATTTTAAATTTACACCTTTACACATATTTACCGGATCATTAAAACTAAAATTATTAAACTTAATTACTTTTGAAATTGGAATTGAATAGTATTAAATGGACGACGATTTCCTATCTGACTACCCTGAGAAGATATGCTGATCGGATGCTCTTTTAGAGTCCAGACAAATAATAATGATATAACGAGAGAACTGTGAAAACTTATTATTTATTTATCTGGGACAAACAAACAGTAACACGTTCTTAGTGGTCTTCTGAAGAGACTATATTTTGACCAGTTCTGATGGAAACCACGCATGTCTTAATTTGAAACAGCTTGCAAATAATAGCTAAATTGCTTAAAACGAAGATTTGAATCAATAAAAAAAAACATTTGAGTCGGTCGCACAAAAACTCAAACTGTCAGAACTTAATAACTAGAAGTAAAATGACGAGACAATAAATCACACGGTACACTTAACTACAATGTTGGTAATACAGAAAGAAGTCAAAAGTGTGTGAGGTTATATGTTAAACCCATGTTCAAACGAAAACCCTAAATTGCAAGCTACATTTTCAATTAACATGATTTGTATTATAATTTTGTATTGTAAATTTCCGCCGACGAGAATCGGCTGCGTCACTTCGCCGCGATGCGCTGATTTTTAATAAGAGTCCCGTCGTGACTCGAAAATAGTAGAGCTTTTCACAGTTCATTCACAATAAAAAAATGTTATATTCAATAAAAAAATTGATTATCGTTGAATCTATCGATATAAATCGAATATTATTTTAATATCGATATAATTTTTTCACCGCACTGATAACAGGAAGTTACCTCGTAACTAACTTCCTCAAAATGTCTGCCTTACAAATTGGTGAGACTCGTTGATCAACTGCGCAGGAGTGTTTTTATAAGGTATATATATATAGTTTTTAAAGGTTAGAAGACTTGAGTTTAATTTATGAAGTGCATCCTTTTTATACATACAACACTTAAGTTGTTTTAGTGCATTTTACACTATTTTAAACAAGCATATAAACATACTTCATGTCCATGTGGTACCATCACTATGAAAGTATTTCTATTTAAATAAATAAATAAGGACCTTTCCAAATCTCATAGAATTAGCTGCTATGTTTAAAATAAATTTGAATATTGAACGTATTTTTGTGAACTTTGACTACCACATAACTTTATTAGTAACTTTATACTTAAATGCGTCATGTTTTGCCATGTGAGTTAGATTATTGGTGGACCAATCTTTCCCCACCTTCCTTCTATCCTCAAATCCTTAAATCCCTAACAACCCTCAAGAGGAGTTACTACAGGTACGTTGGTACAACTCCTTTGGTATAACGAGTGTCCATAGACGCCCCGATTGCATCAGCATCAGGTAATCCATCTATTCGTTTGCCTACTTACGACATAAAGGCACTGTCATCGCGACAGTGACAGTCAGCTGGTTTTTTGTGAGGCCGTGGTATCACTCCGGTTAAGCCGGCCCATGTGTAAGGAAACATGGCTCTCCAGCACTTAAACCAGATTTAATAGACAATATAAAAGCGTATAAACATTATAAGGTATACCTAATATAAATAAAGATAATCTAAACTAATCAAAAAGATTTAGATTAGCTGACATATAAACTTGATCCTACACACAATCTTTGTTAGATATTAGTCAGCTTATGTACATAATAAGATTATGTATATTAAAGATGGATTTTTGATCAAGGAAATTATAGCTTAATGACCTCTTAACTAAGCTTAACTTATAAATAATTGCGGGGCAAGCGCAATAAGGTCATAGCCTCGGCCTAGAGCCGGAGAAGGAACACTAGGTTTTTAGTCAGTAAGAACTGACACTCCCTCCTCCTCACCCTGGCCGAAAAACAAAATTTGATGATATTCCAAAAAACCCCATCCTAATCCCCAATGACCAAAATCCCAGTCCTCAAATCAAGGTGTTGCGGATGCATGTGTTGCAAATCGTAGTAGAATGTGTTGAAGAGAATAAATCTATAATTCTATATATACATAAATGTATACAGTACTGCCTATAAATAGATTTGCATCGTTTGAATATGTGACCTTTTATCGGCATTATGGGAAGTTCCGTGATTTTGATAAAGGTCTTAACGTATTACATAAGCGATAGCGTAATGAAACTAATACCTACTACTTAAAATTAAACGCATAAAGTGTATGTAGATGAAGTGACAGGTCGTAGCTAGCTTACTGGCGTTCTAATAGACATTTAATAATTACTAAAATTAACTCTTACTAACGATTTTTTTACGAAAAATATTGTTAGAGACTGGTTTAGGAAACCATTCAATTATTCTGAGTACGATGGTTATTCCATAAAGCTTATGTTATTAATTGAAATATCCGAGAAAAGCGAAAAGGAAAACAATTGCAGACTATAAAAAGATGCCTTAACTACTTATCACATACATAAATCTAGAAAATACATCATCTAACTTTATTTCGCATTATAATTTTTATAAAACAACGAAACAAACGAAGCAGCTTAAAATAAAATCTAAAACTATACAAAAAAAAAACGACCTTTATTAATTACCCGCTATGTGAACTGCACTAAGCGAGAAGCCTAATTATTTCAATACCGTCAAGTCTTGCCGTGGGCGTCGGCTTGAGAAACCTTCGGCAGATTATGTATTTATTATCTTTTATATTTTATGCAAAAGCTACTCTATCCAACTTAATAATATATACATTTTCGAACTCCCGTAACAACAACTTGTGGATCACATTAACAATTAATTGATAGTTAGTTTCCAAGAAGTCAAATTCAATACTTTTTATGGAAACTGACTGACTAACTGCACGGTTGGTGAGGTGGCTGGGCAAATGGCTGCCGTACAACGTGTCGCGGGTTCGATTCCCGCACGGAACAACTGTTTGTGTGATCCACAAATTGTTGTTCCGGGTCTGGGTGTCATGTGTATGTGATATTCTGTTTGTAACCGCACCCACGACACAGGAGAAAATGTGAGGCAACGTTTTTTTAAAAAAAAAAAACAAAAAAAAAAACTTCTGACTTTGTACAAAAAAGCAAGTTGTGACGTCATAACTTTCAAAAGAATAGGTACTTTATATATTTTATTAAAATAGCGTTTGTAAAGTTATTCAAAAAAAGTTTTGAAAAAAGTATTAATATTGCCTAGTTGGAAAATATTAACTCGTCTCTAATACCTACGCTAGAAAATTACGAATATCATAAAATCAAGTAATAAAAATGTGATTATAATATTAATATTTTATTTTACGAAAAGTTGTATTTATTTTTTTAAGTGTGGGAGGACCATGCTTCGGCACGAATGGGTCGGCTCGACCGGAGTGATACCACGGCCTCACAGAAAACCGGCGTGAAATAACCACAGCGTTGTGTTTCGACGTGTGAGTGAAGTTACCGGAGGCCCAATCCTTCCCCTCCCCCAATCCCTCCTAAATCCCTAAATCTCCAAATCCCTAATCCCTAAAAGGTCGGCAACGCACACGTAACTCCTCCGTGCGAGTGTCCATGGGCGGCGCTGATTGCTTACCATCAGGTAATCCGTCTGCTCGTTTGCCGACCTATTAAATAATAAAAAATTTGGAATTGAGGGAATACACAATTGTTCCTTGCGGGATCCAAACATGCGTTACAATGTAGGTACATCAGGCGGTTACCCAACCACAGCACCAAACATGAACTCAAAGTCAAATTAAACTGGCAACAAATTGCGTCAACATCGTGAAACAGAACATTATGATTTGTGGGAAAATGTGACTTATACGTGACAAAATAAATTATATATTGCCTAACTTCAAATAGTAGTAAAGTGCTTTAAAGCATTTGATCTCACAATAATATTAGCTTTTGCAACCTTTACGTTCAATATTTGAAATCTTTTTCGTTTTGACATTTTCTAGTCACATCGTGATTATTATACATACATTAAAAATTTGATAAATAAATGCATTCATTATAATTAGACCTTTTTTTGTCAGGGGAAAATCATGAAATGAGTTCTCCAGCCCAGGGTTCGCCTTACCCTGGGCGAGGGTCAGACTCTTACTGACTAAACCCCCGATCCTTCTCCTGCTTTATCTTTGCGCTTACCCCGCAACCCCGTCAATATAATTAGACCTGGAAACTTATAGAAGAACATTGTCGAAATTTTCTTTAATAACCTCAAATTTAATCAAATATTTCGAGGAAAACGACCGAAGTACAAATCGTTACCCTTTTGTAGTCCATCTCTGATTGCAGACCACCACATTATCTGTGTACTTGACTATCCCTTAACGCATTTCTATAAATCAAATAAAGAAGCGTTTCCGAAAAAAAAACGGTATTTTATATCGAAGTTGATTTCCACAAAATTACTTCACAGTCATTTGAAATTGAGTGATTACAGCTCATTACTCTTCGAACGAGCGAATGAGTTGTTAAAGAGTCATTCACACGTAGGTACTTGTTGTAAAGAGAATAAAATTTAACAATTGTAAATTAATGTTTTCTTTTTGAGGAGGGAAAATTATCCAATGACTTTCTTCGCCTGGTGAGAAATAGTGTCAAACTCTTACTTACTGAAAACACACCTTGTTTCTTCTCCTGCTTTAGGTCCAGCACGTCGATTCTATAAAATTTGTTTGATTTTGAATCGTGTTCGAGTGCGAAGTGAGCGTCGAAGTGACGGGGAAATTAAATTTTTTTATGCCACTTTTAACGTCATTTCATACTTTATGTTTCAAAATGATGCTGTCAATTTAGTTCAACTCGCAAGTGTAGCGCTAGTGTATTACTAGGTACTCACGGCGGATTCAGATTCGAAGTTTAGAATGAAGTCTTACAGAATCACACTGCACTACTTGTCTTATACTTTTATCCAACATATTTTTCTATACAATACATGTCCCTGAGTTTCTTTTGTTTTGTTGCACCAACCCATGTTTTTCCTGCATCACCTAAAGGTTGTCTAGTAAGAAGGCCTGTGGCATGAAGCCCGTCCTTGTATTTTTTTTAGATGAAGTTAAAACTTTAACGAATACAAAATGCAATACAAACAAGACCTAAGCGTATTTAAAATAAACTAACTCTAGCCACAGTGTCAGTAATATACAAATTTGAAAATCTTGAACATATAAAACAATTCGTCACCTCAAATGAACGTCACACACCAATTTGACATTAGAGAGACGGGCTGAGTTCTCGTGTAATGTCAAGGAGACTCCGTGATAGGATACCATGATATTTACGAAGTTTCGAACAATAGTTTTGTCTGCAAATGTTACATATACTGTAAACATTTTGAAATTCCCGCATTTGAAATTGACTTTTATTGGAATTTGATTGTTATTCGATTACGTTCACGGTCGTATTGGTTTTATAATGGCAGCATCAGTATGTAATAAGGTGAATAGCATAATTTGTACATAGGGTATCCGGTTAAAAAGGCCATAGTTTCCTATGTGTCGTAATGTCATCGTAGTAATTGATAGTCCTCGGTACGTACTGTTATCGGGTAAAGTCAAACACTTTTTAGACTGTCTAGAAATATAATAAGAAAATAGTAAAATTACAAAACCCTTAGTGTGTCCGCCACGAGGTCCAAAGTAAGTGTGTCATTATAATAATTGAAATAAAATGTGTAATGTTAAGTAAACGTGTCGCATCCACGTGAGCGGCGGGGGTGCGGTGTCAGCGGTTTTATATTAATGTATGTTAGGGCTATTATAACTTATAACAGTACCATGGCCCGCATTTCCGTGGTAGGGTGAAGTTCACTCAAACTAGTCTTTAGTTATATGATTTGAAAATGGTGTGCGTCGTGTAGCTTTTCACACGGGCCTCAAAGAGTTAATAGATCAATACAGACGGGGTTCTATACGGTTGATGTTTAGCCGCGGTTACGGGGTAAGCGCAATGAGACACCACAGGAGGGTTTTTAATCACCAGAATTCCTCTCAGCCTGAGCGGGAGAAGTCATTTGATGGATTTACCTTCTCAAAAAAGGCAGCATGCCCTTGCCAAAAAGGTTGAAGTTTGGATCAATGTACAAATTACTTCTATTCCACAAAACACATATATAGCTAACAACACGAACACCAGTCGTAACCACAAAAACGCTGCAAAAACAACAGTCTTCCGTTATCTTAGGAAGCAGTTCAATGTTTTTCAAATACATTGAATAATTTATAGGCAAAAATTTGTCAAGTTTTGAACAAAGATTGTAATGGACGCGTGTTCTCAAAATGTCACTATTGTCTTGTTAAACAAATAATTTTCTCAGCCCATGTGAGTCAGAAAGGTCAACGTGCCTTCCAACTGCAAATATACATACGTCATTATATATACGAATAACAGTGAATGGATTGTTCGTACTAGAACCTACATTATTGATTGTTGTCTTTTTTGAGGGGAAAATCATCTCGTTTCTTTTATCGCCCAGGGCGAGGCAAGACTACGAGACTGAAAAAAAACGCCCCGTTCCTTCTCCTGCTCTAGGCCGAGGCCACTGTTCCTCATACCACTTATTCCGCAGCCCCGGCTGAGCATCAGGCCTATAGGTTCCTGTCTGTGGTAGTCTATTGGCTCTTTGAGCCGCGCATAAAACGCTGAGCACCGTGGTCTGGGTCTGGGTCTGGTCGGACGGCGAGCTAACCTGCGAATATGGTTAATTTAACAAAGTTTTGTTGTAGTGTTTTTCAATTACATAAATTACTGTTCCTCCTACTGCAATCGAATAGGACCCTAATAAAGGATCAAAAGTATCTAATCAAAACTAAATAAAAACTAAGATCTTCAATTTAAATACATCTGCAAAATTCTCCTACAGCCTTCTGAAAAAATGGTTCTAAGATCGGCTTACAGTTTTTTTACGATATAAGGCAGTCTATGACCCGAAAAATCACCTGATGCCAAGCTAGTCAGATCAAAAATCAAAAAGGCCTATGCTCAGCTGTAGACACATATGGGCTGGTGATGATATGTACCTATTGTGTGACCACATATGGGGAGCAACCGGCGTTGTTCTTGGATTATAGGTGCATTTTGTATCATTAAAGGCCTTTGATCTTTAGCCTAACAAGTATAGGTAACACGACCCTTTCTTATTTACCTCCTCTTGAGGCAATAAACGTCACGCACATAACATTTGTTTTTGTGTCATCTTTTCACACACATTTTCCATTCCCAGCATCTTCTTAAAATTTACTAACTGACTTATACGAATTTTATAAACTCGTAAATTTGTAAGCATGGATCGATGTTTGTTAATATTTTACTGAACGGATCTGAATGTAATTCAGAACAAAAATAGATAAAGTCTGGAATGTGATACTGCAGGCAAAGCTGTTGACAGAAACTAGTGTATTATCTGAGGTAGAAATAGGGCATAGTAATCTAATTCATGCAAACGCCGAAGACAAAGCCACGAATAAAAACTTAAGTAACTTACTTAAGTAAAGTAACCTTTTTCCTTACACCGAAATCAACACTGAGTCATTCACTGTAAAAGCCATTTAATTCACACAAATTTAAACGATTTACTTCAAAACCACCAGAGCGTACCATCTAATGGGTATCAAGTAACAGACCATGTTTTTGTAAGACCATTTACTAAGGTTAAAGGCATGCCCTTGGACAAGACTTCTGGTGGTCGCATATTGTTTTATTTACAACAAAGCAAGGACATAATCGCAACACTGTGACATAAGTTCAGTCACATTTTTCATTATAATGAGATTTACCTAAAAAAGTAACTCAACACCGAACATTATTTTGGATTTCTGGTCGTGTGAACTGTGTTTCGAGTTCAATCGGTTAGGTAGGTTTTGTTTCATTTCATTTTCATAGTTCGGCAAACAAGATTAACATGGTCCATGGACATCGTAACACCTAAGGAGTCCCTACTAACTAAACAAGGAAAGATGTTTGAGATTGAGGTGTGCCTTCGATAACCTCATTAACACGGCGAAACACAACCCAAGCATTAGTCCATCCCGGTATCGATGAGGCCGTTATCACTTATAATGCGGCAGTTGTATCTTGGCGAGTGAGAAGTTAGCCGAGTAGCTGCGCAGTACACAATTTTGTTCCTAAAAGATCCATTACGCAGACAAACGGCTAACTTCAGACTCGCCAAGATACGTCGGCCGTGCTGTATGTCTAGTCGGCCTATTCGCGACGAAACATGGCTCTTTCACATTTTACGTTAGTGTTCGTTTCTTTAAAATATTACTGCCTACTAATATCCAAGTGATATTAATTGCATAACTATGAAAGACGAATGTAACGTAAATAAACAACCATTCAATTTTACCAAAGTTATATCACCTATCGTTCTGAATCTCGAGTGGTCCTGTGATGATATATGTATAACGAGGTTCAATCCTGCTCAAAGTCAAAAGACTAATAGAGATCAGAATTAATTCAAAGCATACGACATACGATATACTCTATCACTTTTTAACTTTGATTTACTCCCATCACGATAAAACACACCATTATAAATTACCTTCAACTATTCATTCCAGCTCAAGGATGCCACCAGCAGCGTCGTTTGCTCAACGATGGGCTCGTGACAACCTGACCAGAGAAGCGTCTCCAGAAGAACTGGTGGTCCTGGGTCTCTTTCCCATCACCTGTGAGGGGAATGAGGCTGAAGCTGCCAAGAGAGCGAGGAGGTACTACACAGCCAGAGGCCCTGGGGGACTGACGGAGTTGTGGCACAAGAGGCATCCTGATGATGAAGAGATTCTATCTAGCTGTCAAGATGTGTAAGTAATTTTCTGCTAATAACTTACCGTTTATCAGAAAGATACAAAGAAATATTTTAGTGTTGACAACGCCCTCGTAACGCCTCATTGCATAACAGGCATTGTTTCTGTCACTTAAACTTCTGTCATTGTTGAAAACCACAAAACAAACAAGACAACAGTTGCATACAACTATTCTAGTCTTCTAATTTCTTTAAAAAATTAAATTTTCATTTCAGAATCGAGAATACTATTGACTTATTTCGATTTAAGTGCGACTACTTAGGCAGTTGTAACATCATGAAGCCCATGTGTTTTAATAACCCTACTGAAAGGGGAAAAGTACAGTTTAAATCTTGATATTTTATAATGACACAGTGTACGTTTAGCATATACATATATGCCGACTTTGCCGGAGTGATACCACGGTTTCACAGAAAACAGCGTGCGTAAAGGATATCGAAAGCCCAATCTCCCTCCATCCCCAATTCTTCAATCCTCACACCCCTAACACCGAGAAGATCGACAACACACTTGCAACTTCGTGCCCTATTGCTTATCATCCGGTGACTTGCTTGTTCGTTCGCCAATTTTACGCAACAAAAAAAATATATATTACACTAGATTTTGCTTGCGACTTTGTTCGCGTGGAATAGTAACTTCCTGCAGATTTTTGGTTTCAAAACTATCCTATGTCCATTCGCGAGTTCCAACCTATGTCTGTACCAAATATTACACAAATAGGTTCAGTAGTTTAGGCTTGAAGAAAAGACAGACAGAGTTACTTTCACATTTATAATATTAGTTTTTATGGATTGATTTGGATTAAGCTGAAGTGAAAAGTCGGCCTCACCATTTAAGAACAACATATTATGACAGATTTCATACAAAATTCCATTTAAAAATCTCGTAATGATACCAGGAAATCATGAACGCATAAGAATGTTATGACAACCAGGCTGACATTTATAGCTTCCGTCTCTAATTTGTATTCTTCAGAACACATAACATCTGACGTTGATGTACAGGAAAATCTTTATGTATTGATTTATAACTATTTAGATACTAAATTGTCTTTGTGTAGTAGTAACTGTCTAATTATATGATCTTTAAGTCACGTTTAACTTAAATAAAATACAACACGCTTTTCATACTAAGCTGCATTATGTTGTAATAGATGGTGCCATAGATCAGGTATGATTGAAGATTTCAATAATGCTGAAGTTTAACTTAGTGCCAGATATGGTAAAATATAACAGGTAAAATACTAAACGATACTCAAGATAAAGACCGCATATAAATTTAAAATTATATTCAAAGATTTAAGATCTAGCTATCTATTTATATTAAAGAAAATGATTACAAAATATTATATTGTTAACAGTAATAAATTAGCATAAACATCGTATTCAATATATTATTATGATCTTACACATTAACTACCTCGCTAAGATTTTGTGACCATTTACCACTTTAGCTGTTGGAATACAAGTTGGAATGCAAGAATAAAGGGTATCAAAACATTTTATGGTGGTAACTATTTATTCCCATCGTTTCAAAGACTTATATCTTGATTGACAGTAGTACTGACGCATTGCCTTTATAAGTCAGGAACATAAGTGATTCTACTTTTATAATAGCTGCGTATACCTTTTCAGATACATAGTTCCACTTCGATCTCGTAGTCTGGGAGGAAGACGAGTTACCTTGGTCCGACTACCAGCACACAACGCATTGGACAGGCCGATCTCAGCTAAAGCGTTGCTGTCCAGATGGCTAATGATATTGGACATCAGGTATTTATTATCTTGTTTTTTAATTGTACATCTTTCCACACTAGTAATTATCGAAAAAAACTAGATTAGTTTTAGTTGAAAAAAATATTGTGTCATCCAACCGACCGAAAAGAATTGATTTTCTAATTGATGCACTAAGCCACCGTTTAGGGTTGTCATTATCATATATCATTAGGACGTGGCATGAAAATCGTAGTCGCGTTCTTGTAGATTTACACATATATAAAAGAAACTAAAATAAAGTTTATTTACTGTAACATTCTCAAAATCACTAACCAACTCCTCTTGAAAATATTCCAAACAAAAGAGCCTTTATACAAAGCAACCTTGCTTTACACTATCGCTAACTCAACTAAATAAACAGACACTCAACAGCCAGATTGTGGAAACAAAGAACTAGTGTCGATATGAACAAACAAGGAGTGCCACAAGGGTCTATTGTGGGGCCAGACTATTTGTATAACGTTACGTGCTAACAACAAGAATATTGATATTCTAGATCAAGTATATTAAAATTATTTTTAATTACTGAATTTTAGAATTGTGTTTTAGTGTTTCGTATCAATGTGATATAAAAATCAACTACGTGGAACTAATCAGTTTAGGTAGATGTATAAAGGGATTAATGAAAAAGATAATATAAAGCGTTAATGTCTACTATGACAAATCGACGATGAAGGCATATAATTGTGCTTAGCCCATATGTTTTATAATGGAACTAAGTAGCAGGTCAATATAAAAATATTGAAAATATTGACCTGCTACTTGCAAGTTTAAGTGTGGGAGAGCCATGCTTCGGCACGAATGGGTCGGCTCAACCGGAGTGATACCACGGCCTCACAGAAAATCGGCGTGAAATAACCACAGCGTTGTGTTTCGCCGTGTGAGTGAGGTTACCGGAGGCCCAATCCTTCCCCTAACCCAATCCCCCCTAAATCCCTAAATCTCCAAATCCCTAATCCCTAAAAGGTCGGCAACGCACTCGTAACTCCTCCGTGGCGAGTGTCCATGGGCGGCGCTGATTGCTTACCATTAGGTTATCCGTCAGGTCGTTTGCCGACCTATTAAATAAAAAAAAATATGATGGTGCATATCACAAAAAATAGTCAATCAAATCAATGATATTAAGTGCATCTTATATTTTTAAATGATGTATTGGACCAGCCCTCACTTAAAGTAGGTGTTTCTTTATTTTTTAATGTTAGACTAACATAAATCCGATTTCAATTCCAGACTTCGAGAAGATCCAACTCCTGGTGAGGAAGTGATTTTCATCGACGTAGCTGATCTCCAACCAACACACATCAAGAGCCACTTCAGAGGCACATACTGGAAAGACTTCGTTTGGTGTATGAAGGTAAATATGGTCAAAACACTATTATGACGCCAATATTGACCAAGATTCCACACTATAGACCTTTATACTATTTTAATATTCATCATCGTGATCATCCAGGTTCACTTTACTGTCCACTGCTGAGCAAGGGCCTCGTTTCAAATGGAGAAGTTTGACAATTAATTAATCAATATTGCGTTGTCGATTTTAGGACATACTTAGAATTTATAAGTCTAAGTTTCCTGACTTCACAGTACGTTTGTGGTATAAAACAAATCTTAAAAAGTACTATTAAGACTGGTTGCTGTACGAGTCGTGAATCCAATTCCCCCACAGATTAAATGTTATTGTGTGTAGTGATTATTTAATTCAAGACTTCAAAACAATTGAATTAGAGTATCCGAGTGAAGGGCACGCTAAATAAAGGAAGAATTGTTTTTTCCTAGCACTAGAATTTTCTCCTGACCGTAGGTGATGATGCTGTTTGTTGTGTTTCTTAATATAAGCAAATGAGATGTAGTTCCGAAATCATAACCTAGATAAGGCTATTCTCAAAAAAATTTAACCTAATATAACGCCAAATCTTTGTTATTTTCCAGACTGCTTATCCACTCCGCATTGCAGAGGTCCACGTTATCAATACTCAGCGCTTGAAGACCATGTCTCTCCTCTTACTTCACATTGGCCTGTACCCATGGAGACGTAAAGTGGTGCAGCTTCATGGCACTTCAGACAGCATTGAGGATGCTTTGGGTTCAGACCGATTGGCTGTAGAATCTCTACCTTATGAATATGGTGGAAGAGCTGGACTTATGAAAGACCTTAATGGTATTTATCTGTTGGATTCTCACCCAATGTTTCAATCAATTTAAGTTTATTGCACAATTTTTCCAAGAACAACGATCGCCTCGTCATAATTATTAAAAAATCTTCGATAAAATCAGTCGAGTCCTAGAATTTGGATTCATGAAATCGGAGCCTATTGTATTGGCTACGATTTTATGATTTTCAAAGCTAATAAAGGATTTTAAAATATTTATTAACTACTCTGATTTTGTAATATCACAATAACTTGAGAAGATTTAAGTTTAAATATAGGTGATGATTATATAAGAATATTAAACACTTACATACACTTATATACTAACACATAATCATGTTTATATATATGTTTGGTATATTTAATTGAATTTGCTTGCTTCTTGCACCTGCCACTAGATTATCTCTGCATCACCCAAAGGTAGACTGGTAGAGAATATAGGTATAGCATTAAGTCCGCCTATGTACAGTGTTTTGTGCATGAAGTCTCAAATAAATAAATAAATAAATAATCAAAAAACGATCTCTTCTCCGCAGACGAATGGACAAAGAAAATGCTATCAAACTCAAAATGGCTTCAAAAAGAGGAGCGAAAATTCTACGATACAGATCTCAAGCCTGAGGGGCGGGCTCGCACCCGTCACCGGAGCGCAGTACGAACGTTGCGCGGGAGCAATGGATCCTATGATATGGTCACTCGAACACATTCGTGTCGTTCACTGCATCGACACGATGACCTTGATGAAGGGACCCATGGTGCTTATAGGACATTAAAAGTGACCAGATAGAGGGAGCTGAAGATTTTGATGTGTTTGTATTATAAATCTCGTCAGATGTATTAAATTTGTTATTATTAACTGCCTATTTATGATTGACAAAGCAACTCGACTGGCTACACTCAAACGTTTGGGTATTTTCCTTAATCGATTATTTTTTACTTTTCAGTACTATTTAACTTTCAGGTATAATCGGTTTTCATTACTGATTCGGTAATATAGATACTTACTTTGTTGACGAATTTCTCTTTATTTATAGATATTTTTATAAGAAATAATTGTCAATAGTTGCCAATGAAAATGTCTGTGTTTCATACAAAGTGCAAATAAAATTATCGTTTAACGTATGGCGTTTCAATAAAAGTTTAAATTTTTACTAGCTGTTAACTACCGGATTGTTTGTACTGAAAATCATATTATAAATGGTCCCGATATGGTGTGATATTCTTTCAAGTATTGTTTGTTATAATATGTAAGTTATGTATGTTTTATAAGTTTTATAATGTAACACTTTCTAAAATTCTCTTAAAAGCTGACTTTATGAACAAACTTGTCGTACATTACATATAATATTCTTTCGAAATTTAAATTTTTGTGTACATATTTAAAACAGTATATAGTTATACGTTTAGATAAGTATATAGGTTTTTATAGCATATTAATTTCAAAATGCGATGTACAACTGCCTCCTGAGATTTTTTAATGTTATTAAAACTAAAACTTTGTACCTTTACATGCATTCCTTATTTAACCTGCCTAAACTTACTGCCAAGCAAAGGGTTTTGGGTCTGATTCAAAATATCGTACCCTATAACAAGTTTGACTGCATGGTTGTGTAGCACTCAGTTTCACATACCTACATATAACACCCAGACCCGAAACAACAATTTGTGGATCACGCAGCCAGTCAGCCAGCCATCGCACCAATTGTGCAGTCCAAATGCCTCTAAGTAAGACAGTAAAAAAAAAACTACGTTTAAAAAAACCGACTTCAAAAACAAAAAAGTATCAAATAAGTAATTAAAATTGATATTTTAATAGCACTCTTACGTACCTACGCGAAGCTAATACTTTTAATATTAATAATAAAACACTATCAATTCTATGTGCTACCTGTTCATAGGTTTGAAGTCGGTGCCAAGCCTAATACATAATATAATAAGCATGATTACATGAGTACTTAAACTCGACGGGCGCGTTTGAATTTATTTGTTAGGATTTAAGAAATTTAGTACCGATTTTCTAACTTAATGGCGTTAGCGTAGAATCAGAAGTCTATATGGTTTCGTTACCGGCGAAACTGTATATAGCTTAGAAAGATATTTGGATGAATTATGAATTCTGACAGTTTTCTCGTACTTGGTTGTTAAAAGTAGTACTTAGTAGATAGCTGCGTTGTTAGTTGTGGAAATTTCGTCTTTTACCAGTTAAACAGTCTTAATTCTCATTTAGTTTTATTCTGTTTAGGGCTTGGCACCGACTTCAAACCTATGAACAGGTAGCACATAGAATTGATAGTGTTTTATTATTAATATTAAAAGTATTAGCTTCGCGTAGGTACGTAAGAGTGCTATTAAAATATCAATTTTAATTACTTATTTGATACTTTTTTGTTTTTGAAGTCGGTTTTTTTAAACGTAGTTTATTTTATTTTTTTCTTTTTAGTGTCTGTTGCAAGTTCTTCTGTAAACTACAGTAATATTCTTAATATAAATTAACATATTGAATAGTATATATTTTTAAGTAGCTATGTGTAGGCCAACGAAAGGAGTCGCCCGATTAAAAAATATAGATCCCCAGAAATGGGAAAGTTCTCATCATCATCATCATCATCATCATCATCATCAGCCATTTTAATGTTCCCACTACTGGGACACAGGCTATCTCTCTAGGAGAGGGAAAGTTCTTAACAATATAAATAAATTAAGTCCAAACACGAGGTAGCTACTGTAAACCGTTGAGGAGTTCCCTAGACTGTCGTTCGTCTTCATCATCAGATCCCTAATGACAGTCACAATCCATCAAGGTGTAAAGTTCTCATCAAAACGAATAAATTAAGCTCAAACACAAGGAAGCTGTTATGCATCATTGAGGAGTTCTCTCGACTGTCTCTCGTTTCCATCCGGAATTTCCTCGACGGTCAATTGTCTCCATCATCAGGTAAACTGCAGACCTTCAGTTGTTATGATACATACCTACAGGTACAAAGTTTTCATCAATATAAATGAATTAAGTTCAAACACGAAGTAGTTACTGTAAACCGTTTAGGAGTTTCCTGAGCTGTCCTTCGTTCTCATCATCAGACCCTTAATGACAGTTACGACCAAGCCTGCTGCAAAGTGCTCGCCAATACGAATCATTCAAGCCCAAACACAAGGCAATTACTCCAAATAGTCAAGGAGATCCCTCGACTGTCTTCCAGCTCCAACATCTGGTCGACTTCGACCTTCGTCAAGTTGTAGTGTTGTTAAAGGCCTACTTAAACATCATACAAAAAACCTACTCGCCCCTACAATTTTCGAAAGTTCCCCTCGGTTTCTCCAGGATTCCATCATCAGATCCTGACCTCATGACAATGGGACCAAATGGCAAGTATACCCTATCGAATAAAAAAAGAATTTTGCAAATCGGTCCAGGCGTCTTCGAGTAATCGGTGTACATACATAAAAAAAAAAAAAGAAAAATACGCGTCGAATTGAGAACCTCCTCCTTTTTTGAAGTCGGTTAAAAATACTGATATAAAAACAAACTCTCATCCAATACTTATCATTGTTAGAGAAAAAGCACAGTAGTAAGAATAAATATTAGCTTTGGACCTCAAAGTAGAACAATCATAATTGAAAATGCAATTCAAAAGGCTTGCTGAAGTTGCTCGACAAACTGCACGGACTGAAGCCACAAGTAATTTAGGATTCATTTTCTATCCAGTATTCATTTGAATTGAAATAAAGGAGTGTTTAATTTTCTAACCACGATTCAGGAGCATTTTTTTCTGGACTTCACTTTTGAGTTGTAGGTCAAAATTTCTCAGTAATTATGAATTCTCGAGGAAGCTAAATAAAATATTGTTGGCATATTTAATTAGTGATTTTTTTACTCATAAAGTTAAATATAGTATAAGGGGTGCAAAATGTTATGGATTCAATTACGGCATAGAACAAATCTTTGGGTGTTCCAAAAATTGTTTTTCTGAGCAATTATGGGTGTTTGTCTGTTTTTCTTTATTTGCAATGACTGCCGTGTAACCACTATATCGCCTGGTGGTAAACGATGATGTAACTTCTGACACAGTATGCCTTATAAGCACTAGCACCAATAAGCAACCTATTCACTCGAGCCTTGAAGACCACTGATTCCTTCAGGTGTCCTTCAGGGAACGTAGCTAAAATGAAAACGAGTTTATTCAGACCTAAAATCCATGTTATCCTAAAACTGTTATTACAGTATAAATGACTTCCTGAGTGAGGATAATTTGTCATCATCATCATCATCAGCCGGAAGACGTCCACTGCTGGACAAAGGCCTCCCCCTAGGCTCTCCACGTCGAACGACAAGTTGCCACATGCATTTGCTCCCCGCGACTCTGACGATGTCGTCGGTCCACCTAGTGGAAGGCCTGCCCACACTACGTTTTCCGGTCCTTGGTCGCCACTCTAGGACTTTTCGGGCCCATCGACCGTCCGTCTTTCGAGGATAATTTGTAGGACATATAAAAGGTTGTATTGCCTTTTTGGAGCTTTTGTATTAACTAATCCCTTAGGTACATGCTATTGAATAATATTCATGGAATGTAATGGACAACTAGTCAGACTCATCCAACAAATCAGACTCTAAAGTACACTCCTTTGGGGGTTTCATTAATTTGTTGCCTAGAAATTCAATTTAAACAGAAATTCGCATTTCGGAGGTGTTGGTCCGTATAATTGTGGTCACAGAACCGCATGACGTAACAATTTATAGTGGAACCAAACAATTGCACCCATCTCATTATGAATATGCTGAATTAACATCCGTTCGTATGGCAAACCGCTTGTCCGTGTTCCAATTATTATTAACTAGCTTTTTCCTACTCTTGCCTAGGCTGTTTTTTGGTGGAGGAAAATCATCGAATGACTTCTCTCGGTGGGAGTAAAGGGAGTGTCAGACTCTTACTGATTAAACCCACGTAATCCCGGTTTCTTTGTTTCCGGGGAAACCTTCATTTCGACGATTTGGTCTCGTACTGTAAGTCTATTTTGTTGAAATTATAAATAAATAAATAAACGGAGATTAGGATTGCTTTATTACCTTACCAAAACCATTCCATTGGCTACCTTCGTCAATCCTACCCTAAATCCTAAGGCCTCTTATAGACAGTTTATAGTCATGGTGCAACGTCTATTACAGCACAAACCTAGGGAGATCTACGTCAATTGCGATTCACCTAGCGAGGTCTAGGTAGAGACAGTGGCAAAGTGATCACGTAACATCGTGTCTTCCATGAAGTCACTAGGAAGGTCAGAATCATAAGAGATGGAGATGGAGATGGAGATGGAGATGGAGATGGAGATGGAGATGGAGATGGAGATGGAGATGGAGATGGAGATAGCGACAGAGATAGAGATAGGGATAGAGATAGAGATAGAGATAGAGATAGAGATAGAGATAGAGATAGAGATAGAGATAGAGATAGAGATAGAGATAGAGATAGAGATAGAGATAGAGATAGAGATAGAGATAGAGATAGAGATAGAGATAGAGATAGAGATAGAGATAGAGATAGAGATAGAGATAGAGATAGAGATAGAGATAGAGATAGAGATAGAGATAGAGATAGAGATAGAGATAGAGATAGAGATAGAGATAGAGATAGAGATAGAGATAGAGATAGAGATAGAGATAGAGATAGAGATAGAGATAGAGATAGAGATAGAGATAGAGATAGAGATAGAGATAGAGATAGAGATAGAGATAGAGATAGAGAAAGTGGAAGTGTTATTAAAAATAATAAAGTAACGATTTTAAGAATAAATACACCTAAAAATTGGTCTAAAAATATTAATTGTTATTGTGTTTTGACAGGTAGTTGGACCCTGACGTTACAGCTATCTCTCAGGGAACATTTCAGAAATCCCTCATTGTATATTGTTGCAACCACTTCCCTCCCTCATAAAGATAAAAAAAAGATAAAAGATAAAAGATAAAAGATAAAAGATAAAAGATAAAAGATAAAAGATAAAAGATAAAAGATAAAAGATAAAAGATAAAAGATAAAAGATAAAAGATAAAAGATAAAAGATAAAAGATAAAAGATAAAAGATAAAAGATAAAAGATAAAAGATAAAAGATAAAAGATAAAAGATAAAAGATAAAAGATAAAAGATAAAAGATAAAAGATAAAAGATAAAAGATAAAAGATAAAAGATAAAAGATAAAAGATAAAAGATAAAAGATAAAAGATAAAAGATAAAAGATAAAAGATAAAAGATAAAAGATAAAAGATAAA